AAACTTAACAAACATTTATTAATTCTAAATCAATCTAAATTTAGTGATGTTTACGAAACCTAGCTAATTCGAACACTAAATAATCAACATAAAACATTTCAAGAAGGTTGCAATCATAAAAACCAAAGTGAAACAATAAAAATTAAATGAAAGCAGTAGCAGCAGTCAGAGTCACGTGACACCAACTATAAAAACATATTACAATCTCTAACATTCTCCCACCTTACAAAGTTAGGCTTATTGAACTTTGCAACCAAAATTTTACGAAAGTTGGAGCTTTAAACTAACTGGAGCTAAAATAAAAAGAACGTTCATAAGTCCAACCGAAAAGAAATTTTCATGATTCTTCCCGACTTAGTTTTCGGAAAATAATTCACCTCTAAAGCTTCATTGTTTTCTACAAAGTTGTCAGACTTTCTAACAGCTTTTAAGACCTCAATATCAGTTTTGGTAGACACTTCTAATGGGCAAAGCCTTTGAAATGTACGGATCTTTTCACCCTTACTGGTCCTCAGTTTTGCAACTCTAGGAATACCATCTTTACCAGGAAAAATTTCTAAAATTACTCCAAGTGGCCAATCGATACGACGGACATTGTCATGTCCTATTAACTCAACATCACCAACGTTTAAAACGTTATTTCTTCTTACCCCTTTGTGGACTAAAAGAGCAAGGTATTCATTTCTAAATCTTTGTCTGAGATTTTCACGTAGCTTTTGCAAATACTATATTCGTTTTATGAGGCAAGATCGGTCTACATTATCTAGATCTGGTGTTTCGCTGTTACCGCCACCGTGAATAAAAATTTCGGGTGTCAACGGTACTAATTCATTTGGATTATCTTGTAAGTAAGTGAGTGACCTTGGATTTATTACTGACTCACAGTCAGACAATATCGTGTAGAGTTCTTCGTAATCGATGGTAAATTTCCCTAGAACTCGACTTAGCAGTTCTTTGAGCATTTTGACCATTCGCTCCCACCACCCACCCCACCATGCTGCGGTAGGTGGAATAAATTTCCAAGTTATTCTCTGAGCGATTGAGTATGCGGCTATCTTGTCCTAATCTAATGCTTTCAATGCTCTGTTGACTCCCACAAAGTTTGTGCTGTTGTCGGAATAAAGGATTAAAATCCGGCCTCGTCTGGCAATGAATCGTCTGAGGGCTTGGATATAAGCATCTGTGGTGAGTGATTGTACCAGTTCAAAATGGACCGCTCGGTAAAACGGCGCACGTAAATAAAACGATTCAAGCTTTTCCTATTTACCTTAAGTAGAGAGGACCAGCATAATTTTCGCCACTTACCTCGAAGACTTTTGTCATGGTAACTCTTTCTCTAGGCAGCGGAGCGACGGGAACTTCAACTGGTTTAGATTTGAAACGCTTGCATGTCACACATTTAGAAATGACTTCTTTTACTAACTTTTTAGCCTTAAGAATCCAAAACTTCTCCCTAAGTCTGACAAGTACGATAGAAGATCCAGCATGCTCTTCTCGTATTAACTTCATAACGAAACTATTACCAGGTAAAAGAATGGGAAATCTAAAATCTTCAGTTTCATTACTATTTACAAGTTTGGTTCTTATTCGCAGTAATCCCTTTTCATCTCTAAATGCTTGCATTTTGTTAAGAAACTTCTCATCTTGAAACGCTTTTAATTGTATGGATTTGAGAACGTGAGTTTCTGCTTCTTTGAATTCTTCATAGCTCAAGTTACCTTTTAATTTATTTTGATGTGATGTGTTATGTGTAAAATGAAGAATCCATGACACCACTCTGATGTTTCTACTGTAAGAGGAAAAATGATCGCTCCATATTTCTGTATTTTCAATGTTTACAATTGCAGATACGATCGTTCTTCTTTTTTCTCTAATCACTTCTTCTTCATTGATATCTTCCTCTAAGTCGTTAGTTGGCCATTCACGGGATGGAAAATACAGCCAACAGGGTATATCCCACCATTTTGACTGGCGCAATTGTTTAGCTGAACAACCTCTATTTGACCGATCCGCGGGATTCAAGGATCCAGGTAAATGTCTCCATGCTTGAACTGGTGTCAGTTTCCTAATTTCTTGAACACGGTTCTGCACGAATACACCCCACGTTTCTTCTCTTTTCAACCAAGCTAACACTGTGATGGAGTCTGTCCAAAAATATACATCGTCGGTTTTAAACTCCTTTCGGATTTCAATGGAAAGACGAGCAGATATGGTGGCACCAAGAAGTTCTAATCTTGCAATTGTTGTTTCTTTCTTCCCACAAGGGACAATTCTTGTTTTGCTTTGTACCAGCTGTACATAAACATTAGTCCCATAACAAACTCGCAGAAAGACTACTGCCGAATAGGCATATTTGCTCGCAACACAAAAAAAATGAATGGAAATATTTCCCACTCCTTTATCGCAGTGCAACCATCTTGCCACCTTTACATTCTTCAGATATTCAAGCTCATTTAACCATTTTAGAAATTCTTCGCTCGTTTTTAGATCAACTTCAGCGTCCCAACCAATTTTAGACTTCCACAAATTTTGTAGCAAGAGTTTTGGACACATCATCACTGGACTGGTTATCCCTATGGGATCAAAAACTCTGTATGAAGCTGATAAAATATTTGGCTTTGTGATGACTTCATTCTTTGTTTCATTAACATCAGGAATATTTATGGAAAGAGTATCACTTTGTCTATTCCACTTCATTCCCAGAATGTTGGTCTCACTAGAATTAGATTCTGATGGGTTAGTAGACTCCCACCCTCGTAAATCAAATTGTCTTTCAGCCATAATATTAGAAGCAACTTCCATGAATTGTTTCACCCCTGATTCAGTTTTCACGCTTGTGAGGCAATTATCTGCATAAAAACTGCATATTAGTTCCTGTATAATCTCTTTAGGGTATTTTTCATTCCCTCCCATTGCTTCCTCTAGTTTATTATTCAAATGGTATTGAATAGTGGCTCTAAGCAAAAACGGACGACAGGAAACGCCAAACACAACTCTTCGAAAATGTTTCAGCAGTCCATTTTCTCCATACCATAAGAATCGCAAGAAATTTCTATCATTCTCATAAAGACTTACTTGCAAAAAAACCTTACGTATATCAGCTGTTACACCAAATTTATATCTTCGAAATTTATTTATCATTGAGGGAATTACTTCTATCAAATTTAGCCCTTTCTCTACACAATCATTTAAACTAGGAACTCCTTTTCTCTTAGAAGAAGCATTGAACACGGGCCTAATTTTAGTTGTGCTGCTCTCCTTTATCACAGGTCGATGAGGTAAGTAGTGACAAGGTATCTCCATGTCTTCTTTTGGAACCTCTTCAATTATTTCCTCTTTCTCCCAGTCATTGAACACTTCTCCATAGGCATCATACAATTTGTCGGTTTTCAACTTGCGTGTTGTCATTTGCAATCTCTTTAACGCCAAATCATAATTATCTGGCAAAGGCAAATGCCCATCAAGCCATGGCAGACTAACTACAAAACGGCCATCTCCTTCAACTTTCACTGTATTTAAGAAATATTCCATTGAGGCTTCTTGCAGTTCCTCTCTAGATTTTTATTCTGAAGGATCTTTTATTCCTAAAGAATCTAATCTCCACAGCTCCGAAATATCCATTTCTTTTACGAAAAGGGAAGTAACCAACATTGCGTTTGCTTGACGGTAAATCATATTCAGGTGTTTTCCCTGTTGAAGTCCATCCCAGTAGTGTCTCTATTGCTACTAATCCACTGGCCAATACTCTTCGTTTTCCTATTACGTCAGCTCTGAGCAGAATTTGAACTGGTTGTGACTCATTTCCGACGTCTGACAACTTTATATTAATTTCTTCAAGCTCTTTTAACCAGGGTCCAGAGCTAACAGGTGTTATAGTATCACTAATAGATGCTTAATCTAAAGCTTCCATGTTACAAGTCAAGTTATTCTCTGGATTCCTTAATCTAATTCTATAACACGTGTGTTCAAATTTATCTGATTTATGGCCACCAAACAAAGAGTGTGTGCGAGTTTCTTTTCTCAAGGAAACATATTCCATCTTTTCAGCCAAATTTTTTAAAATATATGTTCTTTGTGATCCAGAATCTGAAACACTCTCTCACCACAATCTCTTTTATTCATTAATTAAATTATCAGAATTTTTCAAACTGTACAATGATTCCCAAAAATGGTCTGAAGGTGATAAACAAGATGCTCTTCACCTTACAAGGTGATACAATTTTATTGAATAAGTAGAGAATTCTTGTTATGCTTTTATGTTTCTCTTACTCCCCATTTGAACGGCGTCTGACGTCAGGCGGGCGACATCTTAACAGGAACGAAAACCTGATTTTTAACCTCCGAATTTCTTAGTCTGATTCCAGGCAAGCTTTGTAAGACGAAGACAAATGGTAGAATTCAGGCTCACGATAATTGCTTTGTGTGCATCACGTGATGTTTATTTACTTTTTCGTGTCTTTCTTTTTCTCATCTTCTTTATAAAGCATGAAATCGTATGGAAAGTGTTAAACCAACTTGTAACATTTGAGATGAGTAATTAGGCGAGAGACCACGTTTTAATTTTGAACAGTAGTGATCAAAGTAAAATCACCACACTATCATAATTGAAATCAAGTAGATGCGGCAATAACAAGTTAAAATTCAAACTGCAATGAATTTTGCTTATACGAAAATAAATTTTTATTTAAAGTTATGGTGACAGGTGAGTATTATGTCTGAACAGTTTTAAGAAACGTGTAAATCTCTGAAGCTCTTTTTACTTTTCTTTCGCCGAAAATCTACTTAAAAATGTATATATAATAATTTGTCATTTATCATCACAAATTGTTAAAGCTTCATTCAAAAATTAAAGAAAATGTAGGGAAAACGAATGAAAACATTAGATTACCCAGATCTTGCTGCGAATATTTTAGTGAGGCTTATTAAAAAAATTGAATGAATAAGGATATATTTTTTTTACCCAAAGAAAGGGGCAAAGGCGTTCTTAACCCTTTGACTACGAATTTAAAAAAAATTATTTTTTTTGCTCCGTTTATTATTCAAATGGACAAAATAGTCACAAATAAGGCAAATTCAGTATTTGGGATTTTTCTGACAAGCGGTTATCAATTTAGAGACTGGGACATATATGTCCCGCCGTATTTAATGGTGGGATACATATGTCCCACCTGTTGTGATTGACTTACTACAAGCACATTTATCATTCCGGAAAAATTTATTATATGGACTTTTTCTTACATGGTATGATACAGGGTGAAGCAATCTTTGCATAACCAGACATTACACATTGGACAACTCATATTTGTTCTTTTTTTCTATGCTCATTTGAGAAATTATGAATAAAATATGGACCCAATGAAGAATACGAATGGGATATATCTGTCCCAATGAAGAATACTAGTGGGATATATCTGTCCCAGCCCAAAATCACAATGCTATTTCATGCAAGAAACTCTTTAGCGCCATCTAGAGGATATTTGACACATGAAACACGTATACATGGTTCGACTCTACGACTGGGACATATTACAATAAGATTCTAAGTGCTTTTCACCCCATTAGTAATTTTTAAACATTTGTTGGGACAAATGAGTCCAGATAGTAGCCAAAGGGTTAAACTGTTTGCGCCTAGCCTAAAGTCAGTAATCCTAATGTTCGAAAGAGACAGCCTTTGATATGTAAATAATTTGTGGCGTTGAAGTTTTAAGAAACAAAAATCGGGCACGAAGAAATGCATTTTGAGTTTTAACTTGTCTTTAATCATAATTCCGCAAGTCTAACGCAAAAACTTTTGCAGAAGGAGGGGCAGTTGGCATTTCTGCTGTTTGAAGAAGTTATGTTAAGAAGTAAGCTATAGAACTATTTAAGTAAGTTAAAAATGTTTGTAAGCATTAATAATATTCGCTCATGCATGCGCCCAATAAAATTTCAAACTTCATTAAAAATACTTAATTTAGCAAATTTTTATGTATTTCTTTCAGTTTACTTTGGTTTGAAATAGTTTGCAGGAATTTTCCTTTTAAATACGAATAAAATTGAGACGTAAATTGCTCCCACTTCACACATCGCCCCATTATATGTCTCCAAAATCCGACGAATCGGTTGATACCACTTCGCGGCTGCGCCTGGAGATTTGAACTGAACTGAACTGTATAAAACATCTGGGCATCTGAGGCCGCTTTCGACCCTTTCCCCATTAATCTATACCTTTAACTTTGTGGTGTTTCGATGAAATGCAAGTGAAGTTAAAAAATAATCGTGTGTTATAGAGGGTCATTGAAGTTCTGACTATGTAGTTATAGTTTATAGGCAGTAGGGTGAAAGCGAAAAAGAGGAAAGCGGAAAAGAGGAAAGGCTGGTAGTAAAACCTTTTCAGATATAGGATGCAGCTGGGGATTTGGGAGGATTTTACTTATTCTTTTTTTAAACTATTCAATAATATAAACTTTATTTTGGAAAATAAGAAGCTTTGTAAATATGCTGAAATTATAAAAGAAATCTTGATAGTTACAGATATTTTATTTTTTTTAAAAAAATGCTGGAATGAAATGTCTTACGTACCATTTTTTTCTCTTTTCCGTCTTGCTATATAAAGGTTTTCAGCCATGGTAGGGTGGAATTGAGATTTAATTATGCTTTAATGTGAGCGTATTTGTTGTGGTATCTGCCTTTCAGCACTTGCCGCTTCCAAGCAGTTATTGCGCAATAAAGGCGACGGAAGAATAAAGTCTGATTAGAAGTAGATGGAATTTCTTCTTTGAACTATGTTCTAACGCCTTTGAACTATTGAGAAGTAGTGGTGAGTAAAATCCCTAGAAATCGAATATACTAAAGAATAATGCGTTAAAAGACTACTCCTCAAAAATATTTACAAGGTTGCTAACTATCTTGCCACTCGGGATACGGGCACGGGGATGCAAGCTTTCTGCAAAAGTTTTAATAAATTGGTAGCGAATTAAATAGTCAAAGTTATAAAATAAGAGTATTTACACGTCCCCTCTGCAATAAAGTTGCTATTCATATGGTAATTCGAATACTTGATAGGCAGTGGTGAAAAAACTATTTGAAATGAAAAATACCAGACTAAAAATAACTTAAATTTCGTAACCAGTCAAAAATGCATGCCAATATACAACGCATAAGAAAATAATAATCAATATCTTCAATACTTTAATGTTTGCCGCAGGACCTGTCACGAGCAATCCTGAAAGCGGGACGGAAAAGAGAAAATACTGGTTGGAGAACTATTTCAATATTCGATAATATTTTGGAGGAGTTATCCTATTTTTAGTAATAAAAAATTCACTGTATTTTAATTTAACTCGGCGAAGGAGCAATTTAATATAAAAATTTTATCCGTTGAAAACAATTGGTAGTTATAGATTTTTATTATTCCCGAAAATTTTTTTTTTATTTGATACCAGTTTTTATTCTTTTCCGTCTTGATATATATAGGCTTTCAGCTCTGGTCACGAAGAAATAATAAGTTAAAAATATTTAAATTTGTGGAAATTGACATCGAATTTTTTTTCTAAAGAAAATTAATTTTAATTACAAAACAGCCTTAATAAGAACTGTTATTATCTGTTTTTGAAATATAAATACTAAAAACACAAAACCAGAATAATTATACATTTTAGTTAACACTACTAATTTTAATCATTGTTTCTTTACAGTAATCTCGAGCAACTTAAAACACCGTTTATATCCCTATCCTTCATCACATTTGCGTTCTTATTATTTTACTGACACATCACAATGTCCAATATTTCAAGAAGAATGAGAAAAGGCCCATCTTTGACCGGGTACGAACTTAATAACTATGAGAACAGGGGACGGTATCGCCGACATTGGGTACCTATGAATGTAATAATTCTTTGACTAGGAAGTAGGCGTTACTTTTCCCCTTACACGCAACAGTAAAAAGTAGACGTATCTTGTAATTTTTGGTTTTAATGTATATGTAAGCAAAACATTTTTTTTTTAATAATCACTTTTAAAACACTAGTGATATTCTAATTTTATTTATTTCTTCTTTTAATAAATATGTACTAAGTAGAAAAATGGAAGCTGTCAGTAAGAAAACTCTAAATAGAAAATAATAAAGCAGAAAACAAATATTACTTTATATGAATTAGACCACAATTTAAGAAGACTCGAAATTAAAAAAAGATAGATTAAGCTTAATCATTTTTATTCTCTATCATTAAACATATACCACTACATTTTTTAAAGAAAATTTTAGATAATATTTCAACTAGCTCAATCTGAAATGTTTTTAAAAGTTCTGAAAATGCCTTAAAAAAAGCTGCTATTCGCATAATACTGCGTGATAGAAGCAAAGAACAAAATGTAGAATGATTTAACCAATAGGTAGAAAGAAACCCAAGGAGCAACAGATTAGATTAAAATGGATTGGAAAATGGTGGGATAATCAAAAAGATAATTAGATTATTATAATTTTTTTAAAAATGTATAATGATTCCCAAAAATGGTCTGAAGATGAAAAACAAGGTACTCTTCACCTTACG